TTAATAGGTCAAAAGATATATCTTTTCTTAAGAACCTTAGTACATTTTGACAAAATCTTCCTTTGATTTACAATCCTTGTAGGTACTAACTTGTTTTTGTTGTTTTCGTGTTTCATAAGAAGAGACATATCTCATTTTAATTTGGTTCTTTGATCGTTAGTAAAAATGTACATTTTTTACATTTCACTGTATTTTGAATTATTTGGCCAAGTCTTTCATCATAGTTTGGTAAGGTAAGTATTAATCACACATTTATTAATGAGAGAGCTGACGTTCAAAGACATACTACAAGTAAATGGAATTTGAACTCAAACTCATACTGCCTTCTGACACCCAAATCCATGGTTCTTTTCACTGTATCAAGTATTAAATGTTAAAAGCCATTAAATAGATAGCAGTGTGAGGCGCCTGGGTGGCTCAGTCAGTTGAGTGTCCGTCTGACTCTTGATTTTGTCTCAGGTCATGATCCCAGGGTCGTGGGATTGAGTGCCTCAGGCAGGCTGTACACTGAGCATGGAGCCTGCTTAAGATTCTCTCTCTCCCTTTCTCCCTCTGCACCTCCCCCACTCATGCACATGCTCGCTCGCTCTCTCGCTCTCTCTCTCTTTCTCTCAAATAAAAAAAATAAAAAGATAAAGGGGCTCCTGGGTGGTCAGTAGGTTAAGCGTCTGACTTCGGCTCAGGTCATGATCTCACAGTTTGTGAGTTGGAGCCCTGCATTGGGCTCTGTGCTGACAGCTCGGAGCCTGCAGCCGGCTTCAGATTCTGTGTCTCCCTCTGTGTCTGCTCTTCTCGTGCTCATCTCTCTGTCCTTCTCATGCTCTGTCTCTCTCTCCTTCAAAAATAAACATTTAAAAAAAAAAGTTTTTTAAGATAGTAATGTAACATCACTTGAATTTTCACGAATATGTAGTGAGTATATCTTAATAACAAGTATTAGTTTCCACTCACAATGTATCAAATAGATTACCATGATCTAATCAAAAGCATCAGGGGTAACCCCTTAAAGGGCCATTTTCACCCATTTATAAAGGGTTTTATGACATTCTTAAAAATTCTTCACACTTTGGTTGACTACAGTAGGTTTTGGGTTTTAAAATATATATAATGTGTTTATCATTTTTTCCATCATAGCTTTGACCCCAAACTATAGTAAGAATGCAAAAACAAATGACTAGAAGAAAGAGGAATTTTTACCTCTTTCCATAGAGGTCTTACCTCAGTGGAATAACCATAGAACATTGTAGGAATAAGATGAACATTATAGAAAACCCACAAAAAAGAAACTTTTTGGATCCTTGTGTCATTTATCAGTCTCCACTGATCCTGTAGAGCCAGTTTTGCAGCGGTTTGACTTGACCGTACCATAGAGTGGGAAGGGGCAGCTCCTTAAAAGTACAGCAAAGCAGTTGCTATAAGTGGTAAGGCCAGTTTTCATTGCAGTGAACTCTAGTACCTTTGAAAGTTGATATTATGTTTTAATTTACATTCATGGTTTTCAGGAAGTTTGGGACCAGATGGATTCATGGGATTGATGCTTTATTTTCCTATTCAGTGGTAGAGTATGAAGTTCTGTAAGGACTAGACCTCGTGTTTTACTTTGTCTTCCAAAGGAGAAATTTTTTGAAGTTGCTACAAAATGACTTTTCCTTTTTGATTATGTATCAATATTTATATATTTTTAATGTTTTTTTTTATTTTTGAGAGAGAGAGAAAGCACGAGCACGAGTGGGGGAGGGGCAGAGAGAGAGGGAAACATAGAATCTGAAGCAAGCTCCAGGCTCTGACCCGTCAGCACAGAGCCCAGCGCGGGGCTCAAACCCACAAATGGTTAAAATCATGACCTGAGCCGAAGTCGGACGCTTAACCAGACTGAGCCACCCCAGAGCCCCATAAATATTTGTTTGTATTTTTTTTTCAAGAGGATGAAGAGAAGGCGGCGTCCCTTCCTTTTTTTTTTTTTTTTTAATGTTTATTTATTTTTGAGAGAGAGAGAGAGACAGAATCTGCAGCCTCCAGGCTCTGAGCTGTGAGCACAAAACCTGATCTGGGGCTCGGGCTCAGGAGCCGCGAGGTCATGCCCTGAACCAGAGTCAGACACCTAACCGACTGAGCCACCCAGGCGCCCCAATATTTGTTTGTATTTTTTTTAATGTTTATTTATTTTTGAGACAGAGAGAGATAAAGTGTGAGCGGGGGAGGGGCAGAGAGAGAGGGAGACACAGAATCCGAAGCAGGCTCCAGGCTCTGAGCTGTCAGCACAGAGCCTGACTCAGGGCTTGAACTAATGAACCATGAGATCATGACCTTAGCGGAAGTTGGATGCTTAACCAACTAAGCCACCCAGGCGCCCCTGTTTGTATTTTTAATGTGAGAATGGTGTTTAAAAAGCTGACTCCCCTTTTTCTCTTTTTTTTTTTTAACGTGTTCTAGTTCTGCCTTTATAGAAGACAAATTAGATGGTAATTGAAAATAGAGCATTTAAGAAATTTAAGAAAGCTACTCATTGCCCAGTCTTTGTCCCTTAAAGTATCTTCATGTCTTTTGGGGGAGATTAGTCTTGGAACTCACTTTTATAATTCATTTACCTAAGGACCCACTATAGTGGCACTATAGTGCCCACAGAATGGCAATCTGTGGTTTGGTAGTATGGGATGTATTGCTCATCTCCGTGACTTGAACATTCTCATCCCTGTTCTGGGTGGCTTCTTGTCATTCATGTGCCTCAGAACTTGGGTAAGCCATTAAGGTGCTTAGTGAACAAGATCAGGGTGAAGGATACTGCACAGCCCAAGAGAATATTTATCCCAATTAGAACAGAATATAAAAAATCTTTCCACCTTTTGGTGAAACTTTCTATTCTCCCAGTAGCAGCATGTTTACAAACCATGTCTTAAGCTGTGTTACTTCCACAGCTTAGCTAATACTCATATAATGCATCCCAATCATAGTTAACATCAGTTTCAGGAAGTACTGTTTTTTTACATTTTGTCATATGGTCCAGAATCACCTTTTGTGAAATCCTCTCTTTATATCCCTTTCTTTTTCCCTTTTTGTGAACCACAATGAGTTACTGCCACTAAAAAAAAAAAAAAAAAAAAAAAAACTTTTATGAATTTTTAGTAATTGGAGAATTAGAGAATCATTTTTAACTTTTTCTTACAGAAAATTTTAAATGCATATAAATATAAAGTGCACTGAACCCCATGTACCCATAACTTCTATAGTACTCACCTGTTTTCATCTAAAGCTCTACTTCCTCTTTTTCCCTTATGATTTTGAAGTAAATTCAGGTATTATACCATTTCATTCATGATTATTTCAGTATAGGAATCCCTAAAAGATTTTTTTTTTAACCCACAGAACTACAATACGGATTCACATTAAAAATCTTAATAGTTAAGGAGGTGCTTGAGCAGCTCAGTCAGTTAAGTGTCTGACTCTTGATTTCGGCTCAGGTCATGATCTCATGGTTCTTGAGTTCAAGCCCCACATGGAGCCTGCTTGAGATTCTCCTTCTTTCTCTGCCCCTCCCCTGCTCGCTCACTCACTCACTCTTTCTCTCTCTCTCTCTCTCTCTCTCTCAAATAAGTAAAGTTTAAAAAATTTTTTTTGGATTTTTAATAGTTAACTTCTTAATTGTATCAAATATCTAGTTGGTAATTATAATTCTAACTACCCACAAATATTGCTTATGTTTTTACACATTTGTCTTTCTGAATGTCCCATAGTCTGGATTTTACTGATTGTGTCATCATGGTGTTTAACACGTCTACCTATACTCTTTATAATTCAGTAGTTGGATCTAACATATTTTTAATGCAAAAACTTGGTAAAGCTAGATTAAGAAATTATACTCTCTAAGGAAAGTTTACTGAGTGATTTAAAAAGCCTGGTAACTAATAGGGTTTTATATATAAATTAAGATTCTGATTACGTGGGGGGCACCTAGCTGGCTCAGTCAGTGGGCAAACTCAGAGCATACAACTCTTGATATCGAGTCATGAATTTGAGCCCCACCTGGGTGTAGAGATTGCTTTAAAAAACAAAAATGATTCTGATTACTTGAGAATTCTCAGAAAGAACTAATAGTATCACTTTACAATTTGAAATTATTTTCCTGAAAGAATTTGCCAAACAGAAAACTTTAATTTTTTTTTTTTTTTTAACGTTTATTTATTTTTGGGATAGAGAGAGACAGAGCATGAACGGGGGAGGGGCAGAGAGAGAGGGAGACACAGAATCGGAAACAGGCTCCAGGCTCTGAGCCATCAGCCCAGAGCCCGACGCAGGGCTCGAACTCACGGACCGCGAGATCGTGACCTGGCTGAAGTCGGACGCTTAACCGACTGCGCCACCCAGGCGCCCCCAAACAGAAAACTTTAAAGACATTTTGTGACAAATCCCATATTAGTTTGAGTCTCAAAAATTAACTTGAGAATTGCAGCAATAACTGAATAGTTTTATATCAACAGCCTCTATTTTTAATCAGTATTTATGTTAGAATATGTCAGAATTATACTTTACTATTTCCTTTATTCTTAGTACATATTTTGAGCAATAAAACATTTTTTTTTCTGAGTCTCATAATTGTCAAACTGCATATTCTCTTTTCTAAAATACAGCTTAGGGAGATCCAAATAAATTACTTTTTCATTTTGTAAAAGTTATTTTTCTTCTTTTTTAAATAATTATTTGAACAAAAAAATCATATTTAGAATAAGTTGTAAAAGAATAAGAGCATTGAAATTTGGAGTGGTTTTAAAAAAAAAAATCAGTATTATTGTCATAAACATAAAGAGATTTTTTTATCCAAAAAGTACTTGTTTATGATTCATAGAGAATAGAAGTAGATTACACTTTTACCCCTAACCAATTTGAGGGGGGAAAAAAAAAAAAACTTAAATAAATGTATAGGATTGTTTCATTCAAAGAATCTTTACAGCCATCTCCATCTCACTGTGCTGTGTTTTTGTGTTTGTTCAATTTTTCCCCCGTAGTTCATCAGTAGGTTACTTGCAACATCCAGGATCAGAACAAGTACAGTTTCCTCGAACTACTTCACCATGCAATTCCCAGCAGCTTCAAAGCCACCAGTGTGCAGGTATGAATATAATTGAAAGAAAAGGTAATGATTTGTCCATCTGAGAAATAATTAAATTAAGTTCCTGAGGCATTTCTAGAACAGGATTTCCAACTTCTGTGCTGTGATGTACCCAAAATATTAGGATGCCATGCAAACTCAGAGTTAATGGTTTCCATCCGCTTCTTCCTTTTCTAGTGTTACTACTACAACATTGCTGGCCTGTTTGTCTTCTTCAGATTCTCCTTCCTTCCCTGCCTCATAAATATTGGTGTTCTCTGGAATTGTCTCCTTACTCTTGATACTCTTCCTAGGTGATTCACCCATCTCCTAGGGTTCAACAACTGCTTTTTTGCCAGCAACTCCCACATCTTATTTTGGCTTAGAAGAGGCCATATAGCCAACTGCCTACTGGACATCCCTACCCTGTTGTATCAAAGGCACTTTAGATTTACTAGTTCTCCCTCTTCCTGCATTCTTTATCTCACCTTCTCTCTAGGGACCAGATTAGTTTTCAAAGTCGTAATCAACTCTCTTCTATTCCCTCTTTTCACATTCATACTGTTACCATTTCCTCAAATCTCCTACCGTCTTTCCGTCCTTCTTTCCTTCCCCACTGCTGCCATTCTCAATCAGTTCTTTTCACATCTTATTTGCAACAATCTCTTCAGTGTGTTGCTGATTTCATGTTTCTCCCACACCCAACTTACCTCCTCCCCAACACACAGCAACACACATGCACACTCACACGTACACGCACTGTTCAAGAAATATTTTCCTGTGGGGCGCCTGGGTGGCTCAGTTGATTAAGCGGCCGACTTCAGCTCAGGTCATGATCTCACGGTCCGTGAGTTTGAGCCCCACGTCGGGCTCTGTGCTGACAGCTCAGAGCCTGGAGCCTGTTTCAGATTCTGTGTCTCCCTCTCTCTCTGCCCCTCCCCCGTTCATGCTCTGTCTCTCTCTGTCCCAAAAATAAATAAACGTTGAAAAAAAAAATTTTTTTTTTTAAATATTTTCCTGAAACAAAAAGTCCCTTTATGTCATTCGTCTGAATCAGAAATGTGCATGGATGGATTCTCCATCTAAACTCCCTACCAAGTAAGCCTCCTATTTATACTTACATGTTCCGGTCATACAAAACTATGCTTCCAGAATGCACCATACTATTTCATGGCAAAGATACTTTTTTTATCAGTTCCTCCCTTTGCTTGGAATGCCCCTCTACTGTCTGTTTGCGAGAATCCTGCTTGTCCTTAAAGTTTGACTCAAAAATCACATCTTCTACAAAGTCTTGTCTAGTACTCACAACACAGTTTGTTGCTTTTTTCTGCTTCTATGGTGTCTTAAACTATCCTTTGTCATGACACCATCTTTTATTATAATGATTTCTTAACATATGTAATCTCTGAGAAAGAGAGAAAACCATAAATGGTTATCAAATAAATAATAGTGTGCATCCAAGATGGGCTGCTGTGGTTGAGGAGAACTTGGAGGTGTCCCTAAGCAGTCAGCCCTCTCTAGTTTGCTTAGCCAGTCAGGTTGGTTCTCTTTCTGGGGAACTGGAAACTACCATTTTGGTTACTGAAGTGCAAGTTGTGGTCCTGGGGGCATAAGAATCCTGCCTTACCTTACGCTGAACGGGTGCATGCCTAATACTAGCTGTGCTGCAGACTAGTACACGAGAGAAATAAGTCAAACAAAGAGACATACAGTAATCTGCTTATCTCTACTGTATAATTAACTGTTTACACATACATGTGATCATCATGGCTTTTTAAAGTTAGCCAAGGAGGTCTTCCTAGCTGCCTTTTTCAGATAAGAACATATAATAAAAGAGTTAAGTAACTTCCCCAGAGTCAAGCATTTCAGAGTACAAAAATTGGGCTTTCTGATTCCCACATGGCAAACTTTTTCTTTTCTGTGTATTTAAAGTAATGCCAGTTTTAAAATTAATCCATTTTAGCAATCAGTCACTTTTATAGATATCTCATTTATGCTATACTCTACTAGGTTCTGTAGTAGGTAATTGGACTTTCCTAAGTGTGGATCTGTTATTTTTAGAATAACTGAGATGTTTAGGCCTACAGAATCCCATTTTAATGCCTTTTTAAACACACAACACTTGTGGCATGAAGTTCCAGGGCTTAAATATGACTTGTATATATGATAATAAAGTTTTGCTCAGAAATGTAAAATTATTGGCATTTTCTTAGTGTTTAAAGCTACCAGCTAGTTGGTACAGTCTACTGATTGCAGTGTCCCAACTCTGATTTCCAGCTGTGCCACCTCCGCCCCCTGGTGGAGGAATGGTGATGATGCAGCTCAATGTACCAAACAATCCACAATCTCGGGCCCACTCACCCCCACAGTGGAAACAAAATAAATATTACTGTGATCACCAGAGAGGACAGAAGTGTGTGGAATTTAGCAATGTAGACAATATTGTTCAGGTAAGGTACTTCTTTTGTTTATTACAATTTTAAAACTTTCAACATTTCGGGCACCTGGGTGACTCAGTCATTTAAGTGTCTGACTCTTGGTTTCGACTCAGGTCCTGGTCTCAACGTTTGTGGGTTCGAGCCTTGCGTCAGACTCTGCACGGCTTGGATTCTCTCTCTCTGCCCATTCACTGCTCACCTACGTGCGTGCACACACTCTCAAATAAACTAAATAAAAAAGGCATTTGGGGTGCCTGGGTGGCTCAATCAGTTGAGCGTCAGACTTCAGCTCAGCTCATGATCTCATAGTTCATGAGTTTGAGCCCCCCATTAGGCTCTCTACTGTCAGCACAGAGCCTGCTTTGGATCCTCTGCCCTCCTCTTTCTGTGCCCCTTCCCCATTTGTGCTCTTTCAAAAATAAGTAAACATTAACAAAACATAAAGAAAATAAAAATCTTTAAACAATTTAGTCGCATAAGATTGACCTTACAAGGCTTTGCTTTGAAAATGACATCCTCTCAAATGGGTAAAGAAGTTTGAACATTCTGTGTAGCCACGCTGTTGCTTTCAATATGGAAATACTATTTTTCAACTTTTGCATATTTAAAATGTTTTAATTTTAAAAATCAGAAGATATACTAGATATAAAATTTGGTAAAGAAAGTTAAGTCCTTTTCCTACCTTTTCCATTGAACTGTTAGTGTAATCAGAGGGTAGGTGCAGAACGCTCTAATTTTTTTTTTAATTTTTTTGTTTATTTTTGAGAGAGAGAGAGACAGACAGACAGTGTGAGCAGGAGAGGGGCAGAGAGAGAGACACACACAAAATCTGAAGCAAGCTCCAGGCTCTAAGCTGTCAGCACAGAGCCTGATACGGGGCTCAAACCCACAAACTGTGAGATCATTACCTGAGCTGAAGTCAGACACTCAACCAACTGAGCCACCCAGGCACCCCGGAACACTCTTTATTGTAGAAGAAATTCAGTTAATAAATGTAAAAGCAATAGTAGAATTTAAAAATCACCATTTTGAAATCTCACTGAAATAATGGATCATAAAGAAAATCATCAGCAAATGTCAAGAACATTATGAAAAGCTTTATGGGGGAATTTAAAATGGGTAGATTAGGGACACCTGGGTGGCTCAGTCAGTTAATCATCTGGCTCTTAATTTCTGCTCAGGTCATGATCTTAAGGTTTGTGAGATGGAGTCCCTGGTCAGGCTCTGTGCTGACAGGGAAGATTTTCTCTCTTTCTCTCTGCCCCTCTCCCATGTGCACACACCCTCTCTCTCAGACTCTACAGAATTCTCTCTCTCCCTCTCTCTCTGCCACTTCCCATGTGCATGCTCTCTCATGCTCTCTCTCAAAATGAACATTCAAAAAATTTTTAAGGATAAACTGAAATATTTCAAGGCACATGATTAAATCATGGGAGAATAAAAAGGTCAAAGGTCATTTATAGGCTAATTCACAAACTGTAAATGCCCAATGACCATTAATCAGAGGAGAATACAAAAATATTTTTTATTTATGTAATTAGGAAAATTTAGGAAGACTCATAATTTGCAGTATGGGCAGAGATTTCCAGTTACAAACTCTCTTGTTCATTTTCAGTGGTACTACCAATTCATAGAACTCTTTTTGGAGTGCAGTTTAGTGACAAAAATAATCCAATTAAAAATTGGGTAGAAGACTTCAAATAGCATTTTTCCAAAGAAGACATACAGATAGCCAACAAACAAATGAAAAGATGCTTAACATCACTCATCAAGGAAATTAAAACCACAATGGGATATCCCTTTACACCTGTCAGAATGGCTAAAACCAAATGACAAGAAATAGCAAGTATTGGTGAGAATGTGGAGAAAAAAGAACCCATGTGCACTATAGGTACAATGCACACTGGTGCAGCCACTGTGGAAAACAGTATGGACTTTCCTCGAAATATTAAAAATAGAAATACCATGTGATCCGGTAATTGTACTGGATATTTATCCAAGGAAAATTAAAACACTAATTCAAAATTTAAGTGGCCCTATGTTTATTGCAGCATTATTTACAATAGCCAAGATATGGAAGCAACCTAGGTGTACACTGATAGATGAAAGAAAGATAAGGAGAATGTGGTATGTATAAATAATGAAATATTACTCAACCATAAAAAAGGGTGAGATCTTACCATTTGCAACAACATGGATGGACCTAGAGGGTATTATGCTAGGTGAAATAAGTCAGACTGAGAAAGACAAATACCATATGATTTCATTCATACGTAGAATCTAAAAAACAAAAACAAAAAAATGATGAACAAAAAGCAGAATCAGACCTATAAATACAAAGAACAAACTGATGGTTGCCAGAGGGAAGGGAAATGGGGAAATGGACAAAATAGATGAAAGAGAGTGGGGGATACAGGTTTCCACCTATGCAATGAACAATTCATGGGGATCAAGGTCACAGCATAAGGAATATAGTCAGTGATACTGTAATAGCATCATATGCTGACAGATGGTAGCTATACTTATGGTGAGAATAGCATGACGTATAGACAAGTTGCATCACTGGGTTGTACACCTGAAACTGCCAACTATACTCAAATTTTTAAAAATTTTAATGTTGAACAAATCCATGAGTTATACTGATTTAAATGAATAAATGGGAGGAAAAATGAAGTTCTTTTTTTACAGTGAAATATGAACTAGTAAATATGATGGAATTAGAAAATGACCACCTGGAAATCAGGAAGTAAGAATCATCACTAGAGCAGAGAGGATTCTAGGAAAGTGGCAGAGTAGGAAGCATCAGGAGTCCATCTCTCCACCTAGAAATAATTACACTGGCAGAATCTGATGTAACAGTTTTGTTGCTTTAGAATCTATTGAAGGCTTGCAACTGCCAGGGGAAAGCTTGGGTGATTAATTGAACTTAATTTCAGTCAGTTTCAGCTTTTAGCACAGTAGCAACTACCCATCTTTACCCCCAACCCCTAGGAGGCAACTGTGCATGTTTTTTTACCAGAGCAGCTGACAGGAGCCAGGGTGGGCAAAAAAGGACCCTGTCCTCCAAATACAAGGCATTTATATTCTGATCATGGGTTTCTGCTTCTGATCACAGAGGTGCTGACAAAGAGGCAATAACCATTGTTGTACCTTCACACATTGCTTCAGATCTCTCCCCCGACACTTCTAGGGGACTTAAAGTGCTGGTACCCTGTCTTTCCTCCTTTTGTTTTTCTCTTTGAATCGTTTTTGGGAGCCAAACAGTAAGGACTAAGACATTCAAAAGCAACTGAATATATGGGGTACATGCCCAGGAAAAGGCACAGGCCAAACACTGAGAAATCCTTAAGGTTATACCTCAGACTGATCTTTGACACAAAGACAGCCTGCAACAGTCAATAAACAAAAACCATAAAAGCAACAAAACGCAATAAACCCTGGGAAGGGGGTTGAATCTGATTTCCAGTTACCACACTATCAGATTCAAACGTCCAGTTTTCAACAAAGAGTCACAAGGCATGCAGAGAAACAGGTCAGTATTGCCCATTCGGAGGAAGAAAATCAACATAAATTGTCTTTGAAAAAGACCTGATGACAGATAATTTTAAAAAAAAATTTTTTTTTGAAATTTAAGGGGCGCCTGGGTGACTCAGTCAGTTAAGCATCCAACTTCAGCCCAGGTCATGATCTCATGGTTCGTGAGTTCAAGCCCCACATCAGGCTCTGTGCTGACAGCTTGGAGCCTGGAGCCTGCTTGGATTCTGTGTCTACCTCTCTCTGCCCCTCCCCAGCTCATGTTCGCACTCTGTCTCTGTCAAAAATAAATAAACCTAATAAAAAAATAAATAAAAATTAAAAAAAAAAAAGACCTGATGGCAGATCTCCCAGACAAAAGCCTTAAAACAACTGTCTTCAGGCTGCTCAAAGAACTGCAGGAAGATGTGGAGAAAGACAAGAAAACAATGAACAAAATGGAAATCTCAATAAAGAGATAGAAAACCTAGAAAACTCCAGAAATTCTAGAGCTGAAAATATAACTGAAATGAAAGTTCCCTGGAGGAATTCAGTGGCAGATGTGAGGAGGCAGAAGAAAGAATCTAAGAACTTGAAGAAAGGACAGTGGAAATTGTCAAGTCTGAGGAACAGACAAACCAGAATGAAGAAAAGTGAACAAAGCCTAAGGGACCTGTGATACACCATCAAGTTGACCAACAAACATATTGTGGTTGTCATGGAGGGAAAAGAGAATATTTGAAGAAATAATGGTTGAAAACTTACCACATTTGATTAAAGACATGAATATAAACATCAAGCATTGTGATGAACTCTAGGTAAGAACTCCAAAATACCCACTCTGAGACACAATATAATCAGTCTTTCAGAGGACAGAGTATTAAAAGCAGCAGGAAAGGCACAACTCGTCACATACAAGGAATCCTCAAAAAGATTATCACCAGAGTTCTCATCAGAAACTGGAGGCTAGGACAGCTGGCCAATATATTCAAAGTGCTAAAAGAAAAAAAAAAATGTTAATGAATCCAGTATCTGGTAAAAACTGCCTTTCAAAAGTGAGGTAGAGGGCTCCTGGGAGGCTCAGTCAGTTAAGCAGCGACTTGACTTTGGCGCAGGTCATGATCTCACAGTTAGTGACACTGAGCCCCACGATGGGCTCTGTGCTGACAGCTCATAGCCTGCTTGGGATTCTCTCCCTCTGTCTCTCTGCCTCTCCCCCACTCAATCTTGCTCACTCAGCTCTCTCTCAAAATAAATAAATAAATGAATTTTAAAAACAAAATAAAAGTCAGGTAGAAATTAAAATTCCCAGATAAACAAAAAACAGAGATGGGCCCTGCAAGAAATTCTCAAAAGAGTCCTGCAGGGTAAAGTAGAAAGAACATTGGACAGCAAGACAAAGCTATATAAAGAAAGAAAGTTCTCAAGTTAAATACATGAGCAATTATAAAAGCTAGTAGTATTGTGCCAGTGGTCTATAACTCTACTTTTTACTTTCTACGTGATTTGAGAGACGAATGCACTTAAGTATTTTTTTATAAACAGTATCTAAAAGGTAGTGTTCTAGCTTTGATTTGTAACTCCAAATTTTGTTTTCTATATCATTTAAGAGTCTCATGCACTTAAAACAATTACTAGTGGGGCACCTGGGTGGCTCAGTCAGTTAAGCATCCGACTTTGACTCAGGTCATGATCTTGCAGTCTGTGAGTTTGAGCCCCGTGTCAGGCTCTGTACTGACCGTTCAGAGCCAGGAGCCTGCTTCAGATTCTACATCTCCCTCTCTCTGCTCCTCTCCTGCTTGCATGCATGTGCAGACTCTCTCTCTCTTGTGCACGCGCGCTCTCTCTCTCTCTCGCTCTCTCCCAAAGATAAATAAACATTGAAAAAAAAAGGAATTACTACTTTATGTTTTGGGGCACACAGTATATAAAGATGTACTTTTATGTCATAAGCAACCAAAAGAGGTGGGGACAGAGATATAAAGAAGCAGAGTTTTTGTATATAATTGAAGTTAAGCTAATACAAATTCAAAGTAGAGTGTTATAACTTTAGGATGTTAGGTGTAATGCCTAAGGTAAACACAAAGGAAAATGCTATGGAATATATGCAAAAGGAAATAAGAAAGGAATTTAAACATCTAACTACAAAAAAAAAGAGTATGCAGGGGGGCCGCCTGGGTGACTCAGTTGGTTAAGCGTCCAACTTTGGCTCAGGTCATGATCTCACGGTTCGTGGGTTCGAGCCCCATGTCAGGCTCTGTGCAGACACGCTCAGTGGAGCCTGCTTCCGATTCTCTGTCTCCCTCTGTCTCTGCCCTCCCCTGCTCATGCTCTGTCTCACTCTGTCTCTGAAAAATAAATAAACTTTAAAAAAAATTTTTTTTTTAAATGGAGTATGCAGGAAATGAGGGGTAATAAGGAAGCTATAAGGCATATAGAAAATGGCAAAATGACATTGGCAAGTCCCTCTTTATCAGTTATTTTAACTCTAAAGACAGATTGGCAGAATGGATAAAAACACTTGATCTAACTAAGAGATCTAAGAGACTCCCTTTAGGTCCAAAGACACAAATGAATTGAAAGTGACAAGATGCAAAAATACAGTCCATGAAAATAGCAAGCAAAAGAGAGTAGGTAGGGGTAGTTATGTTAATATTAGATAAAATAAGACTTTAGATCCAAAAAATTTTCTAGATACAAAAGTTCAATACAGTAAGAAGATATAATAATTATAAACCTGATTGTATAAACCTAATAATTACTTACCTGATAACAGACCATCAAGTAATAGTTGGAAACTTTAACACTCCACTCTCAATAATGGATACAACAACCAGGCAAGAGTTAAGTAAGGAAATAGAGAACTTAAACACAAAAAAACAACTAGATCTAACAGACATACAAAGAGCATTCTACCTACACATCTGGTCACTTGTGAACAGTGTATACATTCTTCTTGTGCACATGGGACATATTCTTGGATAGACCATATCCAAGGCCAAAGTTCAATCTCAGTAGATTTTAAAGGGTAGATATGAGCCAACATTGTACTGGGAGTTCTACCTGGAGCTGTTAGGCAAGAAAAAGATATAAAAGGCATCCAAATTGGGAGAGGAAGTAGTAAAATTCTGTTTACAGATAATATGCTTTCCCCCTAATACTATAACTAGAAAGGAAAAAATAGTAATTTAACATTGAAGAAACCTGGCAGAAACCACCTTACAAGTGATGGAAGTAAGCATCACCAGTACTGTGTCAACACATGGACCTCAGGTTCCCTCTTACATGATGCATTGAGAAGGACACAGCATCACTTTCCTAGTACTCCTTCCCCAAATGTATCTTGTGAATTTGGGGATGAGGAAGTAGCAGGCAAAGCCAAATTGAGGGACATTTTACAAAATAACTGATCTTCAAAATGACCATCAGAAACTGATCTTCAAAAATGTCAAAGTCATGAAAGAGAAAAAAGACTGAGGCTCTGCTCCAGATTTAAAAAGATGAAAGAGACGTGACAACTAAATGCAACATTTGATTCTGGACTAGAAGAGGAAATGTTTTCTTTTTTCTTTCTTTTTTTTTTTTTTTTTCTGTAAACTATGTTAGTAGGACAATTGGTGAAATTTGAATAAACTCTATAGATTACATAATCTTACTGTCTTATTAATTGCCTGATTTTGATAATTCTTTTTTTTTCCCAAGGGCTTTTCTTAGAAACCTCTTTATTTCAAGTGTTCTTAAACACTCTACTACATATATTACAGAATAGGATCACTTTTATATAGATTTGATGATTCGACTGTGGCTATTTATGTAAGAAAATATCCTTGTTTTTAGGAAAAAGACACTAAATTAGTTATTTTGGGATGAAGTATCGTGAACAACTCATTCTCAAATAGTTTGGGAAAAAAATAACAGTATATACAGAGAAAGAGATAAAGGTTTAAAAAACATGCAGAGAGAGATTTATATAAAAACATAAGAATATGGGAAATCCGAGAATTCTTTGTATTATTTTTGGTAACTGTCCTTTAGGGATGAATTGTTTAAAAAGGAAATGCTAAACAGTTAACATGAAAAAAAGAATGAGATGGAGCACCTGGGTGGCTCCGTTGGTTAAGGTGCTGACTTCAGCTCAGGTCATGATCTTGCACTCCGTGAGTTCAATCCCCATATCGGGCTCTGTGCTGACAGCTCAGAGCCTGGAACCTGCTTCAGATTCTGTGTCTCCTCCTCTCTCTGCCCCTCTGCCTCTCATGCTGTCTCTCTGTCTCTGTCAAAAATAAATAAATATTTTTTAAAAATTAAAAAAAAAAAGAATGAGATAAATGTGTATTTTTTCTCATGGAAAAGTATCTCCAATATGATTGTCCAGGTACAAAAGCAAGATTAAAAAATAGGATGTGTAGTCTACTTCCATTTTTATAAAACATAGACATGGATGCATACATTTCGGCGTAGAAACAACCTGTTACTGGTACTTACCTTTGGGAGTTGAAAACTGTAAATTTTCATGTTTTAACTCTTACAATAACAAGTATATATTTGTAATCAGAAAAAAATGAAAAATTTTGTTCAAAAGCTAATTTGCCAAATTGTGACTAAAATGCTGACCAGTTTTTTTGATGTGATTACAGCACAGCCCTCAACTCAGTAGTCCCATTGTTTCACCAGCTCAGTCGCCAGCACCAGCGCAGCTGACCACCCTGAAAACTGTCCGTCCTTCTGGACCACCCCTTTCCATCATACCTCAGTTTTCTAGACCTTTTGTTCCAGGGCAAGGTAAGTGCTTGAAACTAGTCACAGCCTCAGAGTTGTAGGACATCCCTTCCCCTGGATGATGTATGGAATTGTCGAATCACTGTATTATACACCTGACACTGATGTAACACTGTATGTTAACTATACTGGAATTAATTTTTTTTTTTTTAATTAAAAATAAGACATCCTTTCTCAATCACTTTGTGATTTCCCTTGGTACTGCTTTCAGTTCTCCACAGGACTGCATTTTGACCTCCACCCAGGCATATTTATTACCATATATTCTCCTAACCTTAATGTTTCATCACTAGTTAATAATTACTAACTTAGTAATTCCTTCCATTCAGTAATTCTTTATGTGATATAGTTAAAGTGACCTTAACTTATTATCCTTAGACTCCATTTCTCTGTAGTAGTAATATGCAATGCTATGAACTTGTTCTTTATTTCTAATACCTATATTACAGTAGCATATATCAAGAGTTTATTCAAAAATGTATTCAACAGTTTTTGAGGCCTTATTGTGACCCTGACATACAAAAACGAGTAAGGTGAAGTCCTCTTCCTCACTGACCCTCGGTCTAATTGGAGGAACAGACCGCAAATGGATGATTATAGAATAATATTTTTGGAATTTATCCTAAGCATAATGCACACAATGATTTATCCACAGAAGAGTTTGGTCTATAGCAGAAAAAATGCAAAACAACCTAAATGTCTTATCAGTAAGGATTAGAGTATATCTATATAGGGAATACTAAGTAGTTATCCAAAAAATGTGTTTTAAAGAATCATTGAAAGAAGAAATACAGTACAGTGAATGATTTTTAAAAACATGTTACATGAAGAGGAGTGGTGGTAGATACACACTTCAAGTTATGGAATGAGTAAGTCACAGGCATGGGGAGTATAATATAGGGAGTATATTCAATGGTATTATAATGGCATTGTATGGTGACAGATGGTAGGTACACTTGTGGTGAGCATAGCATAACATCTAACTTGTCCAGTCACTGTGTTGTACACCTGAAACTAATGTAACATTGTATATCGACTGTACTTCCATCTATTTATTTTGCAGGAGAGTGCAAGAGAGGGGGTTACTGGAGAGATGTCTAGTAAGCCTTTGAAAAGGTGCTCAACATCATCCATTAATTATTAGGGAAAGGAATATTAAAATCTGAATGAAATATCACTTTGACCCCACTAGAATGGCTATAATAAAAGATTAACACCACTGAATGTAGGTGAAATTACAGAATTCTTGCACATTGGTATGGAGGAGTAAAATGATAAAACCATTTTGGAAAAAAGATTTGAGTTTCTTACAAAATTAATCACTTACCTTGCAATGCAGCAATTCCACTCCTAGGTATTTCCCCAAGAGAAATGAAAACATATTTATGTAGACTTGTACAGCAAATTATATAACAACTTTATTTTATTATAATCACCCAAACTGGACATAACCCAAATGTCCACCAACAAGAGACTAGATATACAGATTGTAATGGATCCTTACAATGGAATACTATTGAACAACATGAATGAACAAGGCAGACTGATCTGAAACAACATGGATTAATTTCAGAGTCATTATGTTAAGCAAAAAACAAGCCAGACACAAAGGCATACTATATTATTCTAATTAAATGAAATCCAGTTATAGGCTAACTAAGGTATGATGTTAGAAATCACATAGTCCTGTGGATGGGATATGGACTTGACTGGTAAGGAGCTTGAGGGCACTTTTCAAGGGATGGAAATGTTCATTGTCTTTTTGGGTTTTGATTACATGAACTTTACAATTGTTGGAATTCATCAAACACTAAAGATGTGCATTTTATTTTATCTAAATTATATCTAAATTTTTTTAAACATTTATAAAACACACAGAACAAAGACTGAAAAGATACACACCAAGATGTTAGAAGTGATGGAATTACTAGAATGGTTTTTATTTTCCCTTTTGTAATTGTTTCCAGGTTTTCTACAAAGCCACGTACTTTAATAATCTAGAAAAATAAAACATAAAAAGTGAATTGAAAGGGCGACTGGGTGGCTCAGTTGGTTAATCGTCTGACTTCAGCTCAGGTCGTTATCTCACGGATCCTGAGTTAAAGCCCCACATCGGTTCTGTGCTGACAGCTCAGAGCCTGGAGCCTGCTTCCAATTCTGTGTCTCCCTCTCTCTCTGCCCCTCCCCCACACACACTCTGTTTCTCTCTCTCTCTTTCTCTCAAAAATAAATAAACATTTGAAAAAAAATTTTTAAGTTCATTGAAATCGTGTGTGGCAATAGTGTGATACTGGGATGCCTGTTCTAGGAGGAACATACAGCATGGCCTATATGGAGGAGTCTGATGATTGCTGTCTACAGCTCATCTCTATATAAGAATACTGCTCCACCAGCCTAAACTTAACTCTGACTTTCTTGCAGCTGTTCTTTATACATCTTCGTGCTTTGCATTGTATCTCTGATCTCAGTGCTAAGCCTCCATGCCATATCTGCCCTTCACATGGTGCTTGGGAAGGAGCAAGTCTGTCATGGGTGTGTCCTGCAGGGAGCTGCCCTCACACCTTCACACTGTTCGTCAGATTAGAGCTCTGTGGAGTAGGGAGAAGTCCACAATGTGCTTTTCTCTGTTATCAAGCTTTCAGGAGAAGGGATGTATGATTCCCTGAAGTGCTTTCCTGGCTCCTGTGCATAATCCCCCTCCAAACGCAGAATGTGCTGAATTGGGGAACTTATGGGTAAAATAAAATGAGGATATTAACAAATGAAAACATTCTCCAGGAGAATGTCTTTGCAGTCAGCATTTATTAAGCCCTTTAAAGAGTGTTTAAGAGCAGATCCAAGACCTGAAATGTAAATATACCCTTTGGTTAACACCGTAAAAATGTTTGTAATGGGTGCCTGGCTGGCTCAGTCAAAAGAGCATGCAACTCTTGATCTCAGGGTCATGAGATTACAATGGGTGTAGAGAAAAGTTTGCAATGAGAATATATAAATGTATATATGCATATATTTGTAGTAATTAATAGTGATTTGGGGAGGGGTGCCTAGCTGGCTCAGTCAGTAGAGCGTGTGACTCTTGATGTCGGAGTTGTGGGTTCCAGCCCCACAATGAGTGCAGAGATTACTTAAAAAATTAAAAATCTTAAAAAAAAAAAAATAGTGACTTTGGGAAGATAAACTTAATGTTTTTCCTTCTCCTCAAATGTAAGTCATTAATTTTTAATCATCATAGAAAACATGGATTTTAGCATCTCACATGGGTGGAAATGGGTATTACAGTTCTTCTGGAATGTTAAGGTATAAATAGGTTAAGGTAAATGAAGCTTCCCTCCTTCCTATCCCCCGTCTTCCCAGTTCCTACCTCCTACTTTCTTCATAACCACTGTTATTAGTCCTTACTCCTTTCAGAAGTTTACCTTCCTCTTGAAAGGGAAGATGGAAACTTAAATTCTTTTTTAAAATGTCAGTACCTACACTTTTTTAATCTACCAAATGTGTTTTCCCTACTCATGTTAACTATTTTGGACAATTTAGAAAACTTAGGGAAGTACTTTTAGAACTGAGCAGAAAACAATGTAAAAGTTTTTTTAATTAACTTTCAGGAGATGCCAGATATCCATTACTTGGCCAGCCTCTGCAGTACAACCCTCCTGCTGTTCTGCACGGACACATTGCAACCCAACAGGTATGAAAGCTGTCTCGTGGCCTAGGCTTTGTTGGCAGGATGTCATAGCTCCTTTGCACAGAGTGTGGGGGGTTCTGGGCCCACCTGCTGGCAGTTCACAAGAAGTCCTCTGTACCACAGCCAGCTGACTTATCGATGTTGTCCCATTGAGTCTGGCCACACAGAGAGCAGACAAGGAAGAAGGTGGTTTGCTGTTTGGCTAAGCGATCAGTGCTATCCCAAAGTGGGAGGGGCGGGGGGGGGGGGCGGGGGCCACAAGCTGGGGCCTTGCTTATGAAAGACAGCAAATGACTCGTTATAGGGAGGAACAGAAGTGCCATTGCCACCCGGTCTTTGGATTGGATTTTTTTCTGCTAAAGTATAGAGCCCAGACTGGGTATGTTTAAGGGTTAAGTGTTTAAACATTACAGACCTATTTTTCAGCACTGTTAACCTTATTTCTCATCTGTTTGTGGGTTTTCAGGGTCAGTCTGGCAACAGGCATGGAAATCGAGGAAGGAAACAAGCTAAAAAAGCTGCATCCACTGACCTTGGTGCAGGAGAGCCAGGTGTGTCCCTGAGAGGCAATTAGATGTGGTTCTACAAACTGTCAACCAGTTCAACACTCTTTAGACAAAAATGGGTTTTCCTCTCCTAAAGTCCTGCACATTACAGGAAATTATGTCATCTGTAATGTAGGGCTCTTAAGTATATTCTTGTAATTGTCTCATTTCACAGTGCAGCTATAGGTGGATTTAGTAGGGATGAAGGGACCAAAGGGAAAAGTTATGTGTGAAAGGAACAGATAGAATGATATTCTTTGCCTGTGTGTTTTTGGAAAAAGGAAGTAGTCCTTACACCCATGCAGAGATAGTCTGATGAACAAAAACTGCCTTTCTGTGGCAGAGTGCTTTCAATATGTACTCAACAGCCTTGGGTCATTACGACAAGGGCTGTTATCTTTATTTTACAGTGGGGCCATGAAGTTCAGGAGACCGCTCAAGATAACACACCTAACTTAGAGAAGCCACTATACAATGGTGTGTTTTCTATGCATAGCTTTCAGTGAAGACCGAGATGGGTAGTTTAGTACCATTAGCTCTGCACCCCTTGCCTAAGGGGTAAGTAGGAATGATTTTTTAAATGGCCATAATTACAGTTTTGTGGGTTTGAATGGTTTTACAAAATCCCGTTCATTTCTTATGTCATATTTGGGTCTTCGGTACTTTCTGCCCACCATTTTGGTAACAGGGATTATTAATTCTATACCTTTTCCATTCTAGTTGTTGGGAAGGTCTTGGAAATTACTGAACTCCCTGATGGAATAACTCGCATGGAAGCCGAGAAGCTTTTTGGGGAACTCTTTAAAATTGGTGCCAAGATCCGGTGGCTCCGAGACCCTCAATCCCAGCCCCAGCTGCGTCGTCACCCCCTCTGCTGTGGCAGCGGGGACAACACTGTCAATCCTGAACGCTCTAAACCCAGTGACTTGGCCTCCACTTACACCGTCTTAGCCACATTCCCCTCCATTTCAGCTGCACAGAATGCATTGAAGAAACAAATTAACTCAGTTAACAAGTTTAAGCTGAGAACGAGCAAGAAGCACTATGACTTCCACATTCTGGAAAGGGCGAGTTCTCAGTAACAGAGCCACCTTGGACCCTTGGCCTTTATGATTCCCCTGTCCTCACCCATCTTTAATTGGCTTGGTTTTTGGAGCTTCTGTTAACATGATAGAGACTCCTAGGACGTGTGGTCATGGCGTTATAGCTTTTGAAGACAGGCCAGTGATCCAGCAAAGGGGGGAAATTACACATTTCACTCCAAATGACTGTAGGAATCCACATCGGAATGATACAGAGTTAGCAGCTTTTTCCGAGGAAATGCTGTTCAAATGCCTCCTAACTTTTATAGTTATTTTGTTTTATATTTCTGAATTCTTGTATCAGATCCAGAGCTCTATTGTACAGCAAATTATTCTTCAAAATGATTACAACCAGTTGCAACCTGTATTTCTTTTTTGCAGCCAGCACAATGTGACCCAACAGAGAATTTGGGGGAAAAAGAATGCAGGAATGGAATAACCAAGTCAAAACCATGTACTATCTTCTTGGGGGGCTGGACGGTGACTGAGGAGAGCCCACAAATAGACCATTACTCTTTCCCTGTATCTCTAAACACAGAAACAATTTGCAAAAAATACAGAACTCCCTCATAGGGTCCTTTCCTTATTCATTTAGGTAGTATGAACATTAAGTGTAAAGCAAATTATGTTCTTAACACTTTTTAATCAAACCACTTAGATTCAAGGGGGAATAGGAATCATTTTAGGCAGGAAAATACTTCCACTTTTTTTTTTTTAAGTGTCCCTCTGATAACTAAATGCCACTTATTTGCATTCCCCTCGTGAATATTTTGTCACCTAAGGAAATGCATTTGATGAGTGCTGGAAACTTCTTAAGTGGTTTAAAATCTGTTTTCATTGTTTGCAGCGGATCACTGGACATCAAAGATTCATTGCACTTATGAACAAGGAACCTTTTTTTCATTTTCTGTGTAATTTGCAAGGCTGTACAATGTGTGCTGATGCAAGCCTTTTTCAGTTCAAGAGAATAAATGTTTACAAATACAGACCCATTTTGTCTTTTGTAAATTAAAAACACCTTTTTCAATGAGTATTAGTGTGGAAGACCTCCCCCATCTTGAAGACTTCTATTTTAGATTTTAGACAGAAGACAGTAATCCTAATCATTTTACAAAAGTCCTACAAAGCATTGCTTTCTCTGTGGGAGTGATGCCTGTGGGTATGACTCCCGTCATTTTGTTCTCTCATAAAGTTAATACCAGTCAATGAAAGATAGTCTTTAGTATGAATACACTTACAGTCAGGCAGCTAAAAATCAAACATTATGTTTGGTTAGATAAAGAATTTGTGGTTTTAGCCAACATATTGAGCACCCAGTTGTCCAGTTTACCTCAAATGCTTTATAGAAAACTTTTCCCGTTTGCTAGCCAAGCAAAGTCAAACTGTTTGTGAAACCCAAAAGGTGGGAATGTCTGCCATCTGCAACTTGGCTAGAACCCGGTTTGCTTCCAGCCTAGACTACAGGTTTACTTGGCAACTCAAGAGCAACAGGTGTTACCAGACTGGTGCAGATGTTCACTCGCTCTAAAGCTTCTGCAAAGTCTCCCTTGGTCTCAGGGCACCCGAGGCCTCCCTACAAGCTGGTACATCCTGATGTTGAATATTGTACTCCTGGGAAAAGTTGGAGCTGCCTTTGAACCATGTCAGATTCAGGAGCCATACCAGAGGGAAAAGTAAGAGTGAGAACTGTGAAAGTCCCTCACTTCCAAGGCCTGTCAAATTTTTATTATTTTTGACTGTAGAGAGTCAAAGAAGGATAGAATACACAATTAGGACCAGAATAGCAAGAATTGTTAATCATACATGGAGATGGAGATTTTAAAAACACCGTCTACTCGTTCTCTATTTTAAACTCCTGCAGTAGGCCTCCTGGTAAACAAGTGTTTTTTGGGGGTTTTTGTTTGTTTGTTTGTTTGTTTGTTTACAAAATTAAAAATTGACCTAATTGACAAAGCATATTAGTTTCAGGTGTACAACATAATGATTTGATACTTGTATGTACTGCAAAATGACTAGCTAATATCCATCATCTCATATAGTTACCAATTTTGTGTGTGTGAGGAGACTTAATTTTTTTTATTTATTACATTTATTTATTTTTGAGAGACAGACCACAAATGGGGAGGGACAGAGAGAGAAGGAGACAGAATCCAAAGCAGGCTCCAGGCTCTGAGCTGTCAGCACAGAGCCCTACGCGGGGCTTGAACTCACAAACCATGAGATCATAACATGAGCCAAAGTTGGACGCTCAACCAACTGAGCCACCCAGGCGCCCCTGAGAACTTTTTTTTTTTTTTAACGTTTATTTATTTTTGAGACAGAGACAGAGCATGAACGAGGGAGGGTCAGAGAGAGAGGGAGACACAGAATCTGAAACAGGCTCCAGGCTTTGAGCAGTCAGCACAGAGCCCGACATGGGGCTCGAACTCACGGACGGCGAGATCGTGACCTGAGCCGAAATCGGACGCTTAACCGACTGAGCCACCCAGGCTCCCTGAGAACTTTTAAAATCTACTCTGTTAGCAACTTCCAAATACACAATACAGTGTTACTAACTGTAGTCACCATGCTGTACATTAAAACGTGTTCACTTCGACCCTGGGTTTACCCTGCCCAGAGAAAATAGGTAAGAAACCAGAGCAAGGCTATTGTGAAGTTAGATCCCACCCACCCCACCACCACCCCCGCAATTCCCCGACAATCACATGGGAATACTAAGAAATTGCCAAACCCCCCCCCCCCACTTTATAAAAATATGCTCACATTCCCTAGGGTATATTCTATTTTTGATCCTCTAGAATCTGATTTCACCTACAGAAAAATGGAGGAAGAACCACACACAGGAAGCATGTAAGATGTGATTTGGCCCAGACTTTTAACCTTCATAAAGACAGCTCCAAATTATCCACAGCCTTGGCTGTAGATTTTCCATAAGTACTGACTGTATTTAGGGACAGGGTGGTACTTTTGCCATTAAAACTATTGCTATTCTTGCAGTGCCTGGGTGGCCCAATCGGTTAAACGTCCAACTTCAGCTCAGGTCATGATCTCGCGGTTTGTGGAATTGAGCCCCATGTCAGGCTCTGCTGTCAGTGCAGAGCCTGCTTCAGATCCTCTGTCTCCGTCTCTCTCTGCCCCTTCCCGATTTGAGCTCTGTCACTCAAAAATAAACGTTTTAAAAAATGAATAAAATAAAATGGGCTATTCTTACCTATGCCAATTAATAGCTCCAGCAGCCCTTTCTTTGGGAATGATAGAGGTCACTATAACTTTTTGTCCACTTTTGCTACTTTATGTATTAGAAGACTGAGAATATGGCTTAATATTTTTAAGCCCTTGGTCCATGAAGAACATGATCTATTGGGAATGTGTTTGTGAATCTAGAGCACAAAGTCTGTTTGCCATGATGCCAGCAGTAATTAATAATTAACTTGTCATCTGAGCTGACAACAAAATAGGCATCTGAATCCTCACCCAGGCTAAGCCATTGTTTTTCTGATCCCACCAGGGAGTGATCTGTGACCTGTGAATAGTGTGGGAACACAGGTCTCAGTAGAACCCATAGTGCCAGAGTGGCTTGAGAAGAATCAAAGCCAGTACATCCACAGCTACCCCAGGAGGTAGCAAAAGTTGGGTTCTGCATGTGTCCTCATCAACAGGAAAAATGTAAATGTAAGACTTCAGCAAAGGCCAGCCCCAGGGCCTTTGTGAAGGTGACCGGATCCCCTATCCGCCTACTACTTGCTGGGCATCATGAGATGTGATAGTATAGTCCCCTAAGCAGAAAGCACAGACTTCCGTATCCTGCTAGTGTCCAGTGTGGTGGTAGCATGAAGGTGTTCTATGCTGGTATGATTCAAAGCTAGCCTCGTGTTGCTTGAAATTCTAGAAGCCTTGAGTTGATGCTAAAAGAAAACCAGGCATTCACATGCACACATTCCGCCTGTAGGCCATACCAGCCTGGAAACAGGCAGGTATGGCTGCCCTTTAATCTATCCCATGCCTATATATGCTCAGGCTGCATATTGCATACTAGTTCTTTTCCCCCTTAGTGTCTACACTTGGATTCATTTTGATTTGATTTTACCAGCCTAAGAATGTTGGAAGTGTGTAAGAAAAAGACAGTAGGAACTTCTAAATCAGAAACCCGAAAAGTGATAAAAGTTGATTCTTTGCCAGGGAAGGGGGAAGCAATGAAATAGATAAATCATTGGGGCGCCAGGGTGGCTCAGTCGGTTAAGTGGCTGACTCTTGACTTCAAGTCCGATCATAATCTCACAGTTCGTGAGTATGAGCCCTGCATTGGGCTCTGGAATCACAGCACAAAGCCTGCTTCAAATCCTTGGACTCCCTCTCTGCCCCTCCCTCACTTGTGCTCACTTGCTCTCTCTCTCTCAGAAGTAAATGTTTAAAAAAAAAAAAGAAAAGAAAAAGGAAAGGAAGAAAAGAAAAAAAGGAAGGAGAAAGAAAGGAAAGAAAGAGAAATAGATAAGTCATTAGCTACATAATCTCCCCTCAAAAAACCCTGGCCTGTTTCAGGTATCTCTTGCTGTTTAACACACCACCCAGAATTGAGTGTTTTATTATTATTTTTTTTTAATGTTTATTGATTTTTGAGAGAGAGAGAAACGGGGGTGGGGGGAGGGGCAGAGAGCAAGGAAGACACAGAATCCAAAACAGCCTCCAGGTTCCAAGCTGTCAGCACAGAGCCAGACACAGGGCTCAAACTCACAAACTGTGAGATCGTGACCTGAGCCAAAGTCAGACACTTGACTAACTGAGCCACCCAGACGCCCCTGGAATTGAGTGCTTTAAAGGAATAATCCCATGGGTTAGGAATTTGGGCAGGCCTCCAAAAGGATGGCTTGGCTCCCCTCTACCTGAAATTAGCTGCCCTCAGCTCAGGGTGGGCTGGGCTAGAAGTTCCAAAATGGCTTCATTCACATCGGGGGTCCCAGGGCTGACATCCCCCACACCCCCAGCTATGATACCTCAATTTTCTTTTTTCTTTTTTTCTTTTTTCTTCCTTATGCCTCAGTTTTCTACACAGACACTCTCGAGGTATTTCATCCTCCAAGGAAGCTCTGTTCGCGCAGCTCCTCCAACAGCATAGCCTGGACTTATTTATAGTCACCATGCTGTACATTAGATCTCCGGTACTTATTCATCTTATGACTGGAAGTTTATAGTCTTCAACCACCTTTACCCATTGCCCCCCACTACAGGGTGCCCTGTTTCTGTAAGTAGAGGGTATTTTAGACTACATATAAGTGAGATCATACAGTATTTGTCTTTCCCTGACTTACTTTATTTAGCATAATGCCCTCAAGGTGCATCCATGTTGTTGCAAATGGCAGGACTTCCTTCTTTTTTTTTTTTCTTTTTTTTTTTTTTTTTTTTAATAGCTGATTAATTAAAGTCCTCCTAGGGGCGCCTGGGTGGCTTGGTCGGTTAAGCGTCCGACTTCAGCTCAGGTCATGATCTCACAGTTCGTGAGTTCGAGCCCCGCGTCAGGCTCTGTGCTGACAGCTTGGATCCTGTTTCGGATTCTGTGTCTCCCTCTCTCTCTGCCCCTCCCCTGTTCATGCTCTGTCTCTCTCTGTCTCAAAAATAAATAAATGTTAAAAAAAAATTTTTTTTTTGAAAAAAAAATAAAGTCCTCCTAAAACCTGATCTTGGAATCCCAGAATGTCATTTCTTTTGCATTCTACCAGTGAAACAAAGTCCTGGAGCCAGCTCACAGCAGAGAAAATAAACCCCACTTCTTGAGAGAGAAGTGGCAAAAAGGCATATAGGGTGAAAGATGTGGCTGCAGCCATCTTTGGAAACAATTTACCACAGACACAAATACACAATAAAAATTCCCATTGACTTTGCGTCCAAAACAAATCCTGAAGCTGACCTCTTCATATCCACTACCCTTTCCACCCAATCCAAGCTATCATCATCCAGTGTTTGGATTACTGGAATGGCCTTCCTCACTAGTCT